CAATTTGGCAATATTTGGAATGCAGCCTCCAGTTCCTCATCCCCAGATCATACTTAGTTTAAAATCACAAATAGCATATGACCAATTCATAGCACCTGGTGACATAAATTTGAAGTTGTTTTTTCCTGACTTCTCTTCCACATCAAGTGTCAACCAAAGTTTTTGTAAATTCATAAAGCATTTCTCGTTACTCAAGATTTAAAGCACTGGAGAACGAGGGAGCATATTTTTGCTTACAACAGAAAATCTTTTAAAGCTACTTAAAACAGGAATGATTGTCAATGTATAGTTACTCTTAGTATGATTCCTTAAGGGAAACAGTAATTGGATCATGTAAAATTTTTTACCTGTAGGGCCATCCAATGGAAATATAATGTCTGCTTTAAAAAGTACCCATTTTTAAAAAGGACTTTTTGTAGTACTACAGCATTTATTTTATTTTTTAAGGTCCAAGTTGAAATATGTTGACACATCCTCTTTGCCAACTTTTTTGATGGGGATGAGGTACCTTGTCCTGTAGGAACTACACAATTGCCAGGAAGGAGAGGCTTTGTGCGTGATTTAATAAGACGTGCACACAAGCACCAAGGTTTTGCATCTCTTCCAAACTAAGACAAAAAAGACAAAGAGTTAGCTATTCCTCAACTGAAATCCAAGACAATTTCCTGTACATACCATGTACTGTATACCAGGCTTGATCTCCTGATAAAAGCTACCTCCTCTGCAAATCCACACTAGCTTCCTGAGCCTATCCTTTTAAAGTACCTGAAAATTGTTTGGAGTTTTTCTCTACCATTATTTCTTTCCCTAGAAAAAGGAAGAAATGTTTTTTCTCAAGCATGATTATCCAGAGAAAACATGAATGTTAACTAGTTCCTTGCTAGGCATATCACAACTGTGATTTTACTAATTGTAGGGGACCACCTAGGCAACTCTCCTTGAAAGATGAGCAATTGCTCCCATTTTGGCTGAGCCGGGCCCTATTTCCATGTATTGATATGTACACAACTGGCTAGGACCCTTTCCTTATCGCTCCAATTGGCTGTAAGCAATGCACATCAGGCTAGCTGAGGTGCTGATGGTAGTCTTTCAAGACAGCAGACCATTTCCCTGCTCCACCCCCCCAGTCCCACTGTTCCCATAAGTGAGCTGGGATGAAGCAGGATGTGTAAGCCAATGCTCCACCCTGTTGGCTGGGATCAAGCCTCAAGATAGAGGCTACAACTTCCTGGGGCTTGGGAGCTTGAAAGATTACACATCAGCACTGAAGCACTGACCTCAAAACATTAGATGCTACTTCAGTTGTGTTATGCAGGTTACTCTTTCTGCATATCCTTCTCTCTGCATATGGCAGAGGGGATTTCAGGGCTCCTACCTAGCCCAGCTCAGAGCACTCATGAACTTCCCGCAATTCTCATGGTCACTCATCCGCAAGCCACTCCGTTTTTCACAAATGAATAAAATCCAGGTTTGGCCTTGGGTCAAGGCCTTTGTTCTGGATAGCCATCATCGTGTTTGGACTTAGGACCCCTTTGCTCCCCATAATAACAAATATGCCTTAGTGTCTTTATTCTCCCCATGGGTGGCAATGGAAGTGGTAGATTGGAATTAACTCACTAGAATTCCAATAACTTTTCATGGGATTACAAATACAAACTTCCTGGGCTGCAACAAGGTCCAGGATGAGCTCTTTATCACTAATATCTTTTTTTAAGACCTCATGAGGTAGGTATTATTTTCATTTTCCAGTAGAACACACTGGGGCACGGACTGCCTAAGTAATTTTCTTAAGGCCACATGGTTAGCAGAGTTCCATCGACCCCAGGCTAAGACCACAGAATCTGTGCCAACTTCACTACATTCAACCAATTTCTTTCCCTCCATCTTTAATTACTTTCCATAATTCCACAAGCTGTGGCAAAGTGACTGCTAGTTCATGTTAAATATCTTTTGGTTGATTGTTTTACGCTTTGTCATCATATGCTATCAGATGCTAAATGTATCTAGCATACTGACTTCTTTAATTCTTCCGTTCACATCCTATATGAATGATCTTTTGGTTTGAGGTTTTTAGGTTTTCCCAAACAAATGATTAACTTTCAGATGATAAAAATACTTTTGTCATTTCAGGATAATCTATCATTTGCTGGTATTTTGGATCAAATAGGCATGGGATACTCTTTAAGCACAATTTCATTAAAACTAAGCAGAGACACCCATGTATTTTCTAGCCCTGTTTCTTTATCAGCAAAGACTATGCCTCTGTTTGGTTTCACATCACTTACAAGTAATTCTTTCCTATTCACTTTTCGGATCTTAGCGTACTATGTCCTCTCCCGTGAAAAGACACCTAGGATTTGGGGAAACCCGGAAGTCGATGTCCACACTGCATGTTAGTTACATTAATTTAGTGAGATGAGAGAAACACTTTCCCTTTACCCGATGGTAGTTTCTACTTAAATAACAGTTTGCTTAGCAAGAAGAGACTTCTAGTTCTCAGAGAAGAGCTGGTACAGCCGTGATATAAACCACAGTGGCTGACCAAGAGGTAACAACAATTTATAAACTACTGTGAGACCTACAAATTGAAAAGTCAGAAGTTGTGTTTCAGGCTCACTGTAGCACCTAGCACTGTGGAGAACATCAACATTTGAAATCAATCACTTAACTGTCACTGCAGGATGTCAGAGTTAACGGTGCCTGAAGTGAACGGCAGTGCAACACCGTGCTCTTTCCCTCTTGCAAATTTAATGATGATTCTTTCTCTGGCTTTGTGCAGGTGGAACGCTGAGCACGCCCCATCCAAAGGCTATGCAAATTCTCCCGCGAGGGAAGGCAGGAACACCGCCACCACCTCAGTGCCTGCCAGGGAGTTATGCAGCATCAGCAAAAATAGGGTCTAAAAGAAATGTGCATCACACAGGCAGCCAGTGAAGAAGCAGGGACTGAGAGCAGGTGTTTGGCCGCCTGGTGAATGGTCCATTTAAAAATTCAACAATAGAGGGAAACAGGGACTACAGCAACCACCATCATGATTGGTGGAACCAGCACTTCTCAATTCAGTGTAAATTAATGCTCTAAGAAGGCACAATAGGAAGCAGATATCCTAAACCTAGTACATCACTTACTCTCAACAATATTATTGAAAAAGCACGCTCTTTAGGAAAATTACTGAAAGAACTACCGATATCCCAAATCCAGGACTGCTTCCATGTCAGGTCCCTCCATGAGATATTAATTACTAGCTAGAGGAAATAGGCAAAAACAGCTCTGTCACTGAAGAACCAACTAATTATCTTTCATAACTCTTTTGAAAAGCAAATGTGGATGTAAAAGCTCAAGTGAAAAACATGGTAAGTGCATTTATGTCTAGACTTTGCCAAGAAAATGAAAGAGTTTAAGTGCATGAAATCAAAAGATCTTACTAAACTAGAATTTCAAATCAAGGTTTAAAAAAATCAGCCTCATATTTTAGTGCATCTTGTCTTTAGAATTTTACGCTTATACAATCAGCTGGGAGTGAACACTGCTGTATATTCAAGAGGTACACGCATCCTATATGGTGAATAGCACCAATATAGAAAAATTATAAAGATAAAAAATGCTTTTCTGGCATCTCTTCCTTTAGCATGCTACACATTGCTATAAACTGCATGATAAGCAGACTATTAGAAAGCAGACCGAGTACACAAGGATATCTTCACGGCACCAGTAGAAAACCTTAAAACGGGTGGTTCAAGGGAGCAGAAAATGAAGCAGAGGTGATTACTGGGTACCACAAACAAGCCAACATGAACAGCAGGAAAGTATGAAGGGGAAAAACCCAAAGCTGCCTGTACAATATACAGTTTTTTTTTCAAATGTAAATTTTAAAGTGAATGCTGCTATTATGCTCCTGCATAAAGGAAAGCATAACAAGGCTGCTCCATTTCCCTCTAAACACAAGGCATAAAGAGAGTAAGGGATGTGAAAAGCCAATTCTTTGTGCTTCTGCTTAATCAATTGCACTCAGTTCTACTCAATGGCATAGCCACCCTGCAAAGACCACTCAGCGGTTCATGGATACGATGCTAGAAAACACTCTGAGGTCTTCTAAGAAAGGTAGGGTAAACCTACCCAAAGGGGCACGGTTTCATTACTCAATCCCAACAACTGAGCAGTAGTGTGTAGGAAATGCCCATGTCCTGAAAAGAAATAAAGATAGTAATTTATTCTGCAAATTCTGATTTTTCCATACAAAATGATTTCTTTCAAAGACTGAACCCTGAAATCACAGTAGAGTTATCTGGTGCCCTAGTCTGATTTTGTCAGGATAACCATTACATGCTGAAAGGAATAAATATGTTCTTCAAGCGTTACATCCTATGCTTACAATCTGTCAAAATGTAGAGCTGAGGAGGAGTTCTGTGTTTCTGACTGTATACATCCATCACTAGCTATCATTCTTCACACAGACAGGAAAAAGTCAACAATGAAACACAAAAGCTAAAAATAAGCCACCGAGCAATTGCTCAGAAAAGCTCCATGTTGGACATAAGGTTAAATGTACATTCCTCCCTTTCCATATTACTGCCAATTTAAAGTAATTGATATTAAGAGCTCAGATCTAGGAATAAAGAAAATAAGCATGCACTACATAAATATGTAAAAGTCAGTCATAAATCAAATTCCATGCTCATAACCATACTTGATCAATTCTCTGACTAGCACATGCCCAGAATGCAAGTAGTGACTAATGTATGTTGCTGTAAATGCCATGATAAACGACAGATACAGGCACTTGAAGTGCCAAAAAAGTCATTTCATACTAGTTGAAAATATCTCTTCATTCACAAGTGTTCAGATGTTCATCTTCAAGGGTCAATCAAATCTTTAATAAAGACCCAGTGTGCAATTTCCTACACTCATGACAAAAAACACTGCATGAAAATGAGCATGTTTTGCATGCAGAAATACCTTGAAAATATATGTGTGAGCACTGACTATAGAAAAAGTATAATCCCCCAAAACACTAGATTCAGAAAAATTTATAAGTAGATTTTTTTTGGTATTTTCATTCATTAGAATTTATTAGATGAAAAAGACAGCATAAAAACCCAACAAGTTACACACTTGAAATCTTACATATGAAAAAAGGAGACAAATTTGACAACAGTCATTTTTCACTTTTTTTCCAGCTTAAAAGTGATTCATATAACCAAATCTCATGGAAACCATAAGATATAAGTGAGATAAAAGAGGTACATGATTAATACAAATTTATTTTATAAGCCCAACTTAGAACATTTATTTTTTAGGTAAATAGTTTTCGATAAAGAGAAAAATGTGAAATAAGATTACAGTGTGTTTTTCTACACGTCTTCGCATCTGATTCATTTTTGTACTTCAGAATTTTTGTGGAGAAAACTCCGACACATACCTAAGTGACTGCAAATAGTAACATTTAACAGCTCCCTTGAAATCTCACATTATTCTCCAAGAAACAGAGAACAGCGGGAGAAGCTTCATCCCGTAGTGTGAACCCAGACTCAATAATCTATTAGCACAAATTAACTCACCATCAGTGGGCTCAAGTATGGAAACATTTTCCATGCAGTACACTTAGCTGGGTATTGCAGCCTCTTATTACAATATTTAAATCTAAATCCAACTGTAGAAAGCCAAGCTCCCACTCAGAATGTTTTAGGGTTAGGACAATCTCTATCCGAAAGCCTGAAAAGCTTGCTCAGATGCACTGACTTGGTGTCGACAGCCAGGAACACAGATGACTGACGCAGACATAGCACATGAACACCAATGGACCAGTCTAGGATTCCAGCAATGTGTGCCATCTGCACACCTGCTGGCCTTTGATCTCCTTCATTTCTTCCCAGTGATCTTGCTCCTCCTCTCCACTGCTGTTCTGACCCAGAGCAATCCAGCCAATCATTTCTTTACGTTTCATAGTACGCCTGTTATAAATGGAAATCATCAGAGTGACATCAGAGAGCTGGAAAAGGGCCACTTGAAAGACAAAGGTCTCCTTGTACACGGGATTGGGCTGACCACGTCGAAGGGATGTCTTGCAACGGGACATCTCTTGACCCACAGAATTGAGGAGGAAGAGTTTTCCATATGTGTCTATGGCAAAAGCAAAAAAAGGAAGGAGATAAGAAAACATCAGTGCTGTCATTTGCTAGTTCAGTTGTAATAGTTACATGAGCTGCAAATTTCTCTTTTCAACATATTAAGCAGTATCCTTAGGCCCAGTCTTTGCTGTTGGACAAACACACCTTTTGAGAATTATTAAAGAAACCAATTACTACCTTGAATATCTAAGGTTTCCAGGAGTTCACACTCTGACACATTGCTGATGGCCATTAGGACCCCTATTTACATAAGGTGTTTAAGTGTGCAGCTGAACGGGCAGTGGTGTTTGTGAATATGGACATATCTCCATCCATAGTGTATGTATATAACAAGGTGAACATAGCATATTCATCCTATCTATCGTCTATCTATCGCTCTATCTATTGATCTATCCATCTATTGCTCTATTGATCTATCGATTTATCGCTCTATCGATCAATCAATCAAGAGATCTTTTTCATAGCCAAATTTCTGTTTTGCACCTAGATACTTTTCTCACCCTCCACACACCCTTGGACTATCTCGTCTACCCCAGCCTACCTGCTCTCCTTTCTCTTCTGTGGATGCTGACCACATCCTTGTGTCTCCAGTGATATCCACCTGTCCTGGTTTCTATTAATGAAGTGCAGCTAGGATGCCACCATATCTTTGCTGACCTCTTTCTCCCACCAGCTATGGTCCAGATAGTCCTCCAATAGTCTTCAACCAAATTCAATGTGAACCTGTCTCGGCACCGACCACTTTTCCACCAGCGCCTGCCCACTTAGCTGCAAGGACTGGCAGTTCCCAGTGGTAGACAGGGATTGCCTTGCTCGCCATTGGACCCCATGCCTGGCCTCCTGCCTAATGTGTTAGACTTTCAGCAAATATTTTATGATGAATGTTCATGACTAATCAAGAAGCTCAACCTTCTTTATTCTTCTGTCTTCAAGTTGTCAAACTTACAAAATAAAGCTAAACCTCTCATTTTATAACCTTTTCACAAGCACTCTACAAAATAGTGATGAATGCCATGTTTTTAGTTATTAGTAGAAAGGAAAAAATATCTAACTTTAACAACATAGTCTACTTTTGCTAAAATTCCTCAGTGGGTCATTACAAATGAAACTGTCTCCCCAATTATATCTTATTTTTAAATGACATAATATAATTTTTAAAAACTTTTCTCTGAGCTACAATTTTTACTCCTAACCGGGGTGTACGGTGTTCTTTTAAAAAAAAAACCAAAATGTTTGGGTGTTTCCCGAATTCATTCTCTACATTCTGTTCAGTGCAGGGAGGAAGCTGATTAGAGTTTACAGCTCACTTCCTCAAATAACACCCAGTCAAACTGCTTAAAATGTAAACCCAGATTTCTGCAGTTTACCTTTCCCTCCAAGAGCACTGTAAGGTAGGAAACAAATTACAACCTGCAGTTTTCTTTGTATGTTGATCTTTTTCTATTCCAGTTTGATGTGTTATTTTATACACTTATCTGCTGAGAAACACAAGGTGTGAAATTACACTTCAGGTGTGAAAGCACATCTCTGTCTCAGAAACAAGGCTCTGTTCTTCAAACTCTTCTATGGAAAAAGCTGTCAGAAAACCAACAACAGGGAAATGAATTTGTGCTTTCGGGGTTGTACAGCTTCACGATTCCTGAAGGAAAAGTTTAATCCAGGCACCAGACTGTTCCAGCAACACCGCTGCCAGTCTTAGCAATAGGAACTGAGGTAATCTTGCAAACAAAGAAATGCTCATTTCACAAAGAGTAATTTTAAGTTTTATCCTGTCACAAGATTGTTTTATAATTACAAGTTAAGCCACTTCCTACCAAACTGCCATCACCAAGTTTGGGTTTTATGTCTATAAAACAGAAAATAATTTTATGAGCAATCCAGTCAGACACCTGACCAAAAGAAGGGAAATAGAGCTGATTATTCTAGTTTGAAAAGGGAAGTTTTCATCACTGTACTGATGTGCTTCTTTAATCCAGAACAGAGTCCATGCCTATGAAATCCCACTGGTGTGGAACAGTAAGAGTGCATGACAGGGTCTTTTGGGGTTTGGTGACTTACTCTAATGAGCACCCATCAGAATGTATAAAGAAAAGTCCAATTAAGTGAATTTCCAATTTAAAAGAGCTTTGTCTTAATTATTTGGAAATTGATAACAGTGGCAATAAAGCAATACTGAGCAGCATCTCATTTTCTGTTAATGATTCAGAAAGCTTTATGGTATCTTTAGTAACTCAGAGCCATTATCAAAAGGCCAAATGGGTCATAATTCCTTAATAGTCCTGTCAACTGCTTTATTGGTCACTTATCTCATCATAAAGGAAGATGTCACATGTACCAAAACATTTATAATAGTATATAATCTCCAACTTATCATGGTATAAAAGGATGTCATTTGGAATTCAGAAGGCATTTTTGAGAAAGAACATGGTACCACAAGGTTAGTAACAGATTCCACACAAAATGCCCACCCTACTCACAGTATAATGTTTTATCAACTGTATTACAGACTCAGTCAGAGTTAGGGTACAACATACTCTAATTTTCTGGCAGCAGGGCACTTAACCTTCCCATCCCTTTTAATTTATTAATATTCACAGAGCATTTTAAGCACACATAAGAGAATAGTGAATGATGTCACACATACCGAGTTGGGTAGTTGGGCACCGTGTGTCATACTTGCTGCTAACCATTTATGTTTCTCATTTGATTTTCAAGAAATAAATATTACAATTGAAGATCCTTGAATATATCTCCTGGAACATGTTCAAATTGTCTTAGATTCGGAGCTCACATTCATGTATGTTTTCAGATCTTTACCATATTAGATGTAAATAAACACAGCCAAAATATATCAACACTATTCTGTATATTAAAAATATTCAACATTGTATGTCTTCTTGAAATTTGTTTTCGTTCAGCATTAAATTTTTTAATATTGCCCTTATGTATGTAACCCTGTGATTCACTTATTTTATCTGCTGTTCCAGTGTATTTGTAAACCACAACGTTTTTAGTCATTCTCTTAATTGTTGGACATTGGTTTATTGTAACCAAGCACTGAAAAGCCTTCAGTGAACGTTTTTCTTTATTTTGAATTATACTGATTTTCACATTTTCTCCAGGAAATACATGAGTGGATTTCTGCGTACTTTACAAAATCTGCACACAAGATGCAAAATCTTTACTAATTGTATTTATTGCTAATATCTTTCCTCTGCCTATGGTTGATATTTCTGCTGTTTATCATGATTTTTGCAGTGCAAACATTTTAAGTTTTTGTGGAGTCAGGTTTATCAGAGCCTTTCTTTTCAGATGATACTTTTTTTCTACAATTAAAAACCCTATCCAAACTCAGTAGTCTCCCATATTGCCTTCCATGAATCATAAGAATTTCTTTTTCACATTAGATCTTTAATCCAGCTGGAATGATCTTTTCATGTACTATGAGGTAAGTATCTATTTTTTCTATATGGAAAGCATTATTCCTTTTATCTCCCTACTGAGGAGATAATGTCTGTCAGATATTAAGCACTAAGGCTTGAGTATCTTTCTTTAAGACTGATAATACTTATTATCATCATTTTATTAAAAAATATCTTGACGCCAGGGAGATAGCTCCGCGGCACAGCGCCAGCCTGGGAAGCGCAAGGTCCTGAGTTCGACTCCTGGTACCAAAAAAATAAATAAAGTTCTAGGATTTCAACTCTTCTATAAAATATCTTGGTATCTGTGCCAGATAATCCCTGTATGAATTTTAGAATTAGCTTGTCAAGTTCTGTAAAAACAAACAAAAAATACTAAAAACCACTACTGGACATTTTATTGGGATTGTACTGGATATATGGATTAATTTGGAAAAAGCTATTGTTTTTACAATATGGAATGTTTTCATCAATGAACATGGTATAACTATCAACTAAGCTTTGTTTTGTTTTTCAAAAGGTTTTTTCCTCATTTTCCTGCAATTTATTTACTTATTCCTTATTCATGTTATCTTTTGGAACATTAGGTATTTTGTTGTTCTATAGAATTAATCTGAAACTCTACTTTCTAATTCCTTTGGATAGAATAGAATAGAAATTACTTTTTATGAGATTATTCTAAATTTTTCTTGTATTTTTAAAATGTAGACAGATTTTTAATTTTCACTTCAGAGCCTTGCTGGGTCTCAGGAACCCACTTCCCTCCCTCTTCTCTTGCTCATGCTGATAAATTCCAGCATCTTACACCAAATCTCAGAGATGCTCTTTCTCTGCTGCTCATCACCCAGCCATCTTCCCAGAAGTCCATATTTTCTATAAATAATGCTAGCTTTATTTTTCCCAAGCTTTATTTTTTTAATTTCTTTTTCTTACTCTATCGAACTATATACTATCAAAGATAAATAATTCCCTTTTGTTCCATATACTAGTTAATATTCAATACCATTTCCAACTTTGAGCTCTTTCCTATACTATGGGGCATAAGGCCTTAAGACTACATTCCCATAATGTCTTGCCAGTATGCTTTCAGTTAGACTCCAAGAATAAAAGCTGCCTATATAGCATAGTAAGTCGAAGGGAAGTCACAGTAAAGGCCCACGAACCAGCTGCAAGCATATGCAAGGTACCTATAGGTGACAGCAAAGGAATTACATCCATAGTATTCAAGAATCCTTGAGAATAACCTTCTCTCTGCACACAGTTCAGATCTTATGGGCATCTTGCCTATGATGCCTGTGCTTCTAGATTTCCTGAAAACAGTCTTTCTGGTCTTTATTCCCCAAATTTCCCAGGGTTAAACCTAAACAACTTCGGCCATGTATAACTAGAATATTTCTTATTTTCCTAACAAAGATCTGACTAATATAGTAACTAGAAATCGCAGTTGGCATGCTGCCATATAAAAAAAGAGGAAGAAAACAGAAACAGAAGCAGGAGCCTTGGCCTAGAAGTTGTATGCCAGGTAATAAAGAAACTAATATCAGAGGATAGAACAGAAATCTGTAATCTA